ACTCTTTCTTCTACATCTTCTTCACTTTCTCTTCTCATCGAACCTGAAATCTCTTAGTGATCAAGACTGAATAGCAGTCTTGAAAACCTACACTAAGTAACTCTACCCCCTTTGGAAATATAGTTTCTCTTCCAGGCTGCCAATCTTTTTTTTTTAATTTTTCCACCACCAGGTTTCAGAACCTACTTTCTTTTATAGACTACTTTTGTACCTCTGTTTATATTTGCTTGTGCTCTGTGGTAGAGGACTGTGGCTTACAAGGAGGATGGCTGTGGTTATCCCGCATCCCAACCTGATTCAGAACAGCCATGGATACTTGTTCCCATAAGAAATCCCTCATCAGTTTTTCCAGCCTCTTTGCCTCCCTTTTAGGAATTCTAAAGACTGACAGGAAGTATAAAGGCAAGTTGGCTAAAGTTGCTTTAATCAAAGTAACTCTACCCCCCTNCTGATTCAGAACAGCCATGGATACTTGTTCCCATAAGAAATCCCTCATCAGTTTTTCCAGCCTCTTTGCCTCCCTTTTAGGAATTCTAAAGACTGACAGGAAGTATAAAGGCAAGTTGGCTAAAGTTGCTTTAATCAAAGTAACTCTACCCCCCTTGGAAATATAGTTTCTCTTCCAAGCTGTCAATCTTTTTTCGAATTTTTCCACCACCAGGTTTCAGAACCTACTTTCTTTTATAGACTACTTTTGTACCTCTGTTTATATTTGCCTGTGCCCTGTGGTAGAGGATTGTGGCTTACAAGGAGGATGGCTGCGGTTATCCCGTGGTAGTAAAATTGGGGTAGTGTGTCCATGGTTATCTTGTGTTATCAATAGTCACGATAGCGTGGTCGCCATTATTTTGTGATAATATGATTGCGATATATACATTTATTCCCGTGCAGCGGGAAGCATGCATTGTGCGTGAATATGTAACAAGGCCATACCTATATAAGGCCCTTAGAGTTCGTTATGTATCTAAGAAAGAATATCACCATTTCTCATTCCTTTTCTCTCCCTCTTCTTCTCTATCTCTCTCTTGTATTCAGGTGGCAGAGCTCCTTCAAAGTAACTCAACCAGATCCGATTCGAGTCTTATCACTCTTCCTCCAATCTATTCAGCCTTGTAGCTCTGTTTTCTTGTTTTCACATTTCCAAAAACTTGATTATTCCACAATTTTAAATCCTCTTTCCGCAAAAGAAGTTTTCTCATAACCACATAACCTGCTCTTCCTCGCACTCTAGTTATTCCATTTTTCTTCCACAAATTGCAAAAGGTGTGGATGCCTCAACTGCATATTCTCAAATCTGAATGATCTTGGACCTTCAAACCTCACATTGGCTTTGTGATCTGATATTGAAAATGTTGAAGCTTCCTGGATTACTTTTGGAAAAAAGTTCTTCCTATTCGCCATTAACCAAAAGTCTGTCCAGCCTCCTAAAAATAGGAGGATATTGGCCATTAGTCCATGTAAATTTTGATCCCACTGTCCTAATTTCCATCAAACTATTCCTTCTTACAACATCCCAAAACTTCTCATAGCACTACTCCCCCCCGCCTCCAGTTGGCCCATAAACATTGGAAACCCAAGCCCTCTCCCTTAATCCCAAACAATCCAATACTGAGGACAACGAATAATCTCCTTTGGAATAATCCACCTTTGACCATTTTAAATTATCCCAAACTGTCAACAAGGTCCCTACAACTCCATATGCTTCAATTACCCCCCCCCTCTTCCAGTTCACACCTATCCGAACCCCATATCATACAGAAACCTACTTTCAACCCTTTCCATTTTCAAGACTAAACAAGAGGAATCACTTCTATATAAATCTTTCTTGCCGTGTCTTCGCCTGAATTGCACCTCAAACCATCTGTACTAGAGGAAGTTTGCTCCCACTCTATAGATGCAGAGTGTTTATCCAATCAATTACTTTGTATTTATATTTTTTATTCAGAACAATAAGTAATAACTCATTGATAAAAAAACTTGCTAACTTGGTACGAACTCTCCTGCACAGAAGGGAAAACTACATCCTGTCCATATTGTTGATGTTCCTGGGCATTCCCGCCTTCGACCCAAGCTCGATGACTACTTGCCTCAAGCAGCTGGCCTTGTTTATGTTGTGGATGCTGTAGACTTCTTACCAAACTGCCGTGCTGCTGCAGAGTACTGAGCTTCAACTTGGTGGCTTTGTGAAACACATGCATGCTTCTGCACACACATATGCTCTCAAACACAAAGAATCCAACTTAATTATGATAATTTTCTCCATATGCTAGGTACCTATATGATATTTTGACAAAGGCAAGCGTTGTGAAGAGGAAAATCCCAGTACTGATACTATGCAATAAAACTGACAAAGTGACTGCACACACCAAGGAATTCATCAGGAAACAACTTGAAAAGGAAATGTAAGATTTTAACCCTATAGCTTTTTTCATGTTGTGTAGATGAGAGATTGAATGGTAATCCTACTATATAGCTCCTGACATTCTGATTAACATGGGATTTCTAGCCAATTTGATATCTTATTTGAGAGCTAGACAATCCTAATGTGTGTATTTTGAAGCTGGGGAAAAAATACCAACATACATATTTTTTTTAATAATTGAAAGAGGAATTTATTAAGAAAATATGAAAACTGTTACAAGCATCCCACTGAGAGGTGCGAGGTGCGAGGTGCGACCTCCCTTAAAAATGTAAAGCACTATATACAAGGTAACCCAGTACAAATGTTCCCCCATAACCCCTTGTTTAGTAAGATAATCTGCCATAGCATTAGCCAGACCTGCCAACCCAATGTACGCTAAACATTCATATTTCTTAATATAACCAGCTGGCCTTCTTTGAGAGGTTCTTGTAACACCAAATGACTGAGTTCGGATCTGTTAACCAACCCACAACGATCTTGGAGTTTCCTTCAATTTGAAGATTCTCGACACCAAGTTGATTAGTGATCTGAATACCTTGTAAAGCTGCCAACTACTCAGCCCTATTTAAGTTTCCTATTCCCACTGGGCCCAAGTACACGGCTAAAATATTAGTCCTTATCTCTCAAAACCCCTCCTATACCAACATACACCAAACTATCAAATATTCAGCATGAGCAGTTGAAATATGAATTTTAATTGTACAAAATAATTGTGAAAAAATTATTTAACATACAATCCTTTTAATGATTGAATTTAAGGATAAATGTCATAAATCAAAGGGCAGAAGTTATGGTTGTTAAAATAAGCTCTGCTTAGATAAACAAAGAAAACCAAAGGTTTATATGAGATATACACTGATATAAATAACATGTAATATATAGCATTAGATTTTGCAAAGTGTAGCATTAACTAACCATTGGTTTTTGAAAATAAGAAAATAGAAGACATTGTAAGACATATATGTGCTAATAAATGGTATTAAGGCATAATTATGCAAGGACTATGAAATGGGCAAATTTGTTTTTATTGTTTTTTATAGCTTGCTGTCTTTATTTATTCATAGGTTAGTAGAAGCTAGAAGTTTCTCAAAGCCATCACTGCCCATTGACAAATAACCTATTTAGCCACATCTTGGGATGATGACACCCTTGTTGTCTGGATCCATGGGGGAAGAATGTGAAGATTCATATGGTTCTGGCCAGTTACACTTCTCTCCAAAGAAAAATCCATTTAATTTTCCACCTCCTACAGCAGAACAAAATTTACAAAAAAAATGCTATTCCTGTAAACCTTTTCCTTAGCAATTCAGTCCATAAAATCCACAAGGACCATAAATTAGCTTCAGTTGTGGGTAAACCATGCAGAACTGAGCTCCAAATTGCAAGCCTGTACTTTATTGTATATAAAGGGCAGTCCAGTGCACGAGGCTCCCACCAGTGTGAGGGGTATGGGAGGGACAGATGTACACAACCTTACCTCAAAGCAGATGAGTATGGACAAATCCTGTCTCACTATTATATTCTATCTCAAAGCAGATGAGTATCTTTTGTCACAAAGACAACATTTATTTTACCAGAAGGAAGAAAATGTAATCATAGAGGTATTCATCTTAAAGATAAAATTAAGGCATTTCAGATTTTCCAGTTCTAAAACATTTGGACCAAAGAATACATTCTACAAAATGAAAAACAAGAAATACAAGTATCTTTTCAACAAATCTCTCTTACTATTAACTGATCATGTCAACACAACATTACGACCAGTGTTTTAAAAGGTGCACCTCAGGCGCGCCTAAGTGTATTTTAGGGTATGTGCCTTGCCAAGGTCCCAGGTGCAGCACTTTCAAAAGGTGAGCAGCACCTGGTTGGCCTTGCACTTCAGCCCAGGCATGCACCTTTTGAAAATTTGTGTATTTTTTCTATTATTTATGTTTAGCAGTTGGGTCGGCGTCTCCACCCCCAAACCCCAGACAAGGCGAGCCCAAACAACTTTTAACTTCAACAGAAAAATGGGTGTTCGTTTCTTCCTATCTCTTATTTCTTAAAGTGCAATCATACAACTTTTTGTTTTCCAATGATACCCACAAAAATACAAACAAAAACTCTCATATATAGGGTCAAAATGGATATTTGATATTTTTTTTATAATTTAGAATTCAGAACAACATTCTCTGCATGCAGAGTTCAGAGGAAAGAAAAGTTCACTAATACCAATATACTTCTTAATGTAATTATTGCACTTTCAGATGTCAGATTTCAGAGCAAATGAATAGACCCTTAGATAATAGGGCCCGAGCCCAAGCCCAAGTTGATCTAATAATATGTCCAAGCCCGACCGGGGGTCAGGCTGGGCTGGTTGGGCCATCGGGCTACTTGGTCCATGAACAGGTCTAGCAGCAACTAAGGCCTTTTGGGACAACTCTGGTTTGTATGTATTTGTCAGTTCACTGCTATTAATCTTAATAAAATACTTATTCATCAAAAGTTTAAGCTGTTTCGAGCTGTTCATACAAAATGTAACTGATTCTAAGCATGGTAAACATGGTTTGAGAAGGGGGTTGATGTTACTGCAGGTTGGACGCCATGAAAAGAATGTCTATTCGTTGGACAACAATATCTTAGTTTACACCAGATAATGTTCTCTGAA